GATTAATATGAGTAAACATTGTCACTTAGCTGATTGATGTTACCGTCAGCATCCCAACTCCGGAGTTTCGTACACAGACCTGTCCGTCCACACTTCAGTGGGTATCAGCAGTTTATTGCATTTATTTTTCGATTTTTCCTTTTTATACACATTTACCACTGGTATCATTGTCTTTGTTGAGAAAATATAATGTTTCCATCTTATACATTTAATAAAGTGTTCTATGTTTTCAATGAGCTTGATTTGGTAATCATGTTAGTTTGATGTTGGTATACACACATACACACACACACACACACACACACACACACACACACACACACACACACACACACACACACACACAGTGTCTTTTCTAAGGAGTGGAAGGTAGCCGGGAATCGAGATGTCAGAGGAGGGGATAGATGAGTCAAGGTTGGTCTCACAGAGAGCTTGTATATCCGGGCAGTTTGCAACAAGGAAAGATTCAACACTGCAGAAGTTGGATCTAATACCACGGATGTTAGAAAATGAAATGGTAAAGGGTTTGGGTGATTTTTTAAGGGCTGGTTTAGGATTTCTTTTGGGATCGTTGTTAGTTTTCATGATGTGAAATTGTGGTAGCCAAAAAAAAAAAAAAAAAGAAAATGATTAAAGTAGAAGAAACACAGTGATCAACCACGACCTAGGCAGACGGAAATTGGCGCAACCTGCAACATAATGTGGCCTCAAAACAAAACAACCAGACAAAAATTGAGAGACAAAACAAACAAAAATAATTACAACGACATGTCCCCCCCCCGTTGAAAATGGCTAACGAAGTGGTCGAAAGCTCATGAGACAATGGACGGTATGGACTCTTTTTGTACTCCCTCAATCCCATAAAACGGAAAAATGATAGATCGCTGTAAATACTAAATGAGGAAAATTTTCCTTGTTTGTCATATTTAACTGAATATATATATATATATATATATATATATATATATATATATATATATATATATATACAAAGAAATAATCACATATAGAATCAATCAGAAATATTAATGCGATTATTGGCGACATCCATCCCTAGTAGTATAATGTATGCATTAAAATACTGTTAATCCATGAGAGTGAAGTGATCCACGTCTATAAAATTGATGTCTGTTGTTTCCAGTTTATGTGTTCTTAAAATGCTAGTACTTACGAATAGTCTTCTATTCATCATCAGGCATGTGTTGTTATTTTCCTTATAAAATCAAAAACTTGAAGACGAATTAATTGTTTGTCGACCGAAAGATGTTTTTTGAATATCTGCTATTATTGACGGTTGTGTACGATCTCGGAAAAAAAAAAAACTACTATGACATTAATATTTCTGATTGATTCTATGTGTGATTATTTCTTTGTATGTAAATTATATGCTGCCTAATGTTTTATATATATATATATATATATATATATATATATATATATATATATATATATATGTGTGTCTGTGCGCGCGTGTGTTTCTAATTTAAATTCACAATAATTATCGGATGTCAATATTGGTTGCATATATTATTATTATATTCCTTTGATTTCCGGTGTGTACACATTATTTCCGGGTCCCGACCAGAGACTTAAGATCAGAAATGGCATCATGACCTTTCCACTGAGCAATTAAAAAAGCACACACACATATTTTGCATAGATAAAGCCCTTCGTGTAGGCTGTACTCGTGAGAACAATCCTTTGTAGTTCTTTAAGGCATGGACTTCCAAGAATCCCTTCAATTAGTTTACAGGAATCTTTTCAAAACAATCTGAGGGCTCCAACTACAAGAGGCTTTGTTGTTATTTCTATGTGCCACATTTTATTATTATTATTATTATTATTATTATTATTATTATTATTATTATTATTTCCATAGATTTCTGTTGTATACACATTTCACAAATAAAGATTCAGAGTCAGAAATGGCTTTATGCCAGTTTAAAAAAGAACTAAAAAAACTAAGATCACACATATTGTATATAGAGAAATCTCTTCGTAATGTGTGACCTTTACTGACATTTTTTTGTATTTCTTTAATGAGACTATAGAAACCTTTTCTAATGAAGCCGTGGGCTCCAACTACAACTAGATTTATTCATGTTCCCATGTGCCACATTTTTTTTAGATTTCCACTTCAAGATCCTTGCATTTTGATAGCTTTTGAAGATATTCAGAGATAAATTGCAATGCCATATCAGTAAGAAAGCACATTCTGTTTTAATATTATTATTATTATTATTACTATTTTATTTTATACTAGCAGCATGGCCCGGCGTTGCCTGTGCTTGATTCAAAAATCGTACGACTCATACAGCAATCGCTATCACAATAACTTAAAATATTTTTGCCCTTCCTCGCCTTTAAAGGAGTGCCCTTTGCCGTGCTGATGTTGCTACATGCTGTGACACTATTTAGCGTTTGGCTAACTAATGAAGCGTGGAAATTAAAAGCGAGAAATACTTAAGGCGAGAAGAAGCTATCACGAAAGACATACTGAGCGATGTTACTTTTTTAACAAAAGAAAAGTGGTAGAGATTTTATTTTCATTTGCAAAGAAAAGTATTTTTTTCGTAGAAGATAGGAAATTCGTAAGATCTCGGATCTGTCAGAATTAATTTATGCCATGACGCGGCGAATAAAAGATAGCAATCTGCCCATGGCAATAATGAAAATTTCAAATTGGTCAAGTGGCTTACAAAGCGGAATGCTAGAAGATAATCGGAATTGGGTCAAGCATGCGACCGAGAAAAGGATCAGCTGAGACCACCCCAAAGAAAAAGGAAGGAAGAAGAGAAAAAGGAAAAGAATAAACTATTAACTATCTTTCGGAGATATCATTTGGTTTTGGAAGAGAACCGCCTGTTTTATGTCCAGACCTTGCCATGATAAAAGTTTGTTACCTGGACAGACTGTTGGCGACAGAAGTACGAAGACTTTGAGGAAGACAAAGAGATTCAATTGACCACCCAGATAATCCCTTAGCGAAAATCTCGTTGATGAATTCCAGGTGACATCCAGTTAAGATAGAGATTTAATGACCACAGTACGAGTCGTGGGGTTCTAGGCGGGGAAAAGAAAGAAAAGAAAAAGGAAGATAATTTTTTTTCTTTCAGCGATAATTTTAAACTGAGGCCAGTCTGGCCACACCCACACTGCTGAGCGTTCATTGGCTGAATGGTGGCGTAAACATATGAGAAAGATGGGAAGTGATCAATTTTCCTGTCCGAAAACAAAGAAAATCCTTATTGCGGATTTGGAATTATCGAGGAACCTAAACCACGACAGGAGACCCCCCCACCCGGTTTTGGTCGGCGTCCATATAAACGAACGTCCCCAGAGTAAAGACAGAGTCACGGAGTAGAGTTACGCAGCAGAGTTGGAGTCAAAGAGTTGAGCTGTGAGCTAAGAGACCAGCCTCGCAGCTGACTGAAAGATTTCTACGCATTCCGACTTAGACTTCTAACCAAAACCATTTTTTTTAAGAACGTCTTAGACACACTCCACCAAAACAAATTTTACGAATATCGCCTAAAGACACCAAAAACCAGAAAAAAACAACTTAAGATATTAAGACTCGCCTAACAAACGCAAAGTGTCACGTATCCATAGAAGCGGTTTGGGAGAAAGACGCAGCCCTGTATTCAGCAACCAGATATAAAGATACTTGTTATTCTTTTTTTTTTAACACATTTGAATCTTTCGAGTTGTTAATTTATTTTCTTTTACATATACTTGTGTGGTGTCACCATTGTTCGAATTCGGCTTGCACTACGGCCCGACGACTGATTGATTTCGTCTACCTAAGATCAAATCACAACGTGGGTAGGTTAGACTAGAAGTCAAAGCTGGCCAATAGAATCTTCCTGCCTATTCGTGGCAGCCATCTATAGTCTCTCACTCTGGCCAGTAGAAAATGGCCGCAAACTACATGAAAACTGCCGTAGAAGCATGAAAAAATCGATTATTTCCACTATCGATGGGAGTTGGGAAATGCAAAGTCGGTCGTGGCCTTCCTGTTAACTTGGTGCATGTGCATGTAAATTTTGGTGCAAATCCGTCGAAAATTGCGGCCGTTCATTCGTTACACACACACACACACACACACACACACACACACACACACACACACACACACACACATCCTGCCTTTTATAGACAGAGATTTATATATTTTCAGGATTTTGAAATAACAGAAAAATGAATAAACAAATAAATAAGCATAAATAGGTTTTCAAATTTCATAAGCAACGTCTAAACAATTTACAAAAAAAAGCTAACTTGAGGCTGATTGATGTTACTGTCAGCATCCCGACTCCGGAGTTTCGTACGCGCACCTGTCCATCCACACTTCAGTGGGTATCAGCAGTTTACTGCATTTATTTTTTCGATTTTTCCTTTTTATACACATTTACCACTTGTATTATTGTCTTTGTTGAGAAAATATAATAGCTTCCATCTTATACATTTAATAAAGTGTTCTATGTTTTCAGTGAGCTTGAATTAGTAATCATGTAGGTTTGATGTTGGTATACACACACATACACACATACACAAACACACACACGCACACACACACACACACATATATATATATGTGTGTGTTTGTGTTATACTCTATACGGCATATTCACGCGAATGCCGTATAGACTATAACGCGAAATATTTTATGCAGTGGAGAACTTTTCGGAAATGGTAAAAAACTATGAACACATGTTATACATAGAAATAAGTTCATTTTCGAACTAAATAATGTCACGCTTATTAAAGGAGAAAGTAAATTATTCAGACGGAAAATTCTCGAAAGTGCAGCTATCGGATCTTATCAAAATGTAAATCTGCGCAACGGATCTTTTTTTCAAATATCTGCTTTCCTGAAAGAATTACTCTTTTCCCAAGCAAACATGCATCACTATTGAAATGTTAAAATATTAAAAGAAAACGGTTAAATTCATAAAGTTATGTTATTTAAAATATATAACACATAAATTAGTCCTAAA